CAAGATCAACCACCAGTCCTTTCGTGTGACAATATTGGTGCGACCTATCTTTCATCCAATCCAGTCTTTCATGCTTGAACCAAGCACATTGAAGTTGACTATCATTTTATGAGGGAACGTGTCACGCAGAAGCTTCTTCGTATCAAGTTTATCTCTTTCAAAGGGGAACTTGCTGACATCTTCACGAAGCCACTTCCACAGCCTCAGTTCGAAGATTGAAGACACAATCTTAACTTGCTATGTACTTCAAGCCACGGTTAAGATTGAGGAAGGATGTTAGACTGTATTTATACATAACTTCTGTACATAACTGTATATTGTATTTGTACACACGATATACCCCTATATATACAAAAGAGCCACACCCGTATTAGGGTGTCGATCAGTTTCCCACAACCCTAATCTTTACAGAAAGAGAAAGTGCATTGTTGTGTGGCTTCGATCAGGGCCTTATGAGGTAACTAAATTATGTAAAGCATATATGTTTGGTGCTTGATCTATAAACTCTTTTTCTATCTAATAATAATAATAATAATAATAATAATAATAATAATAATAAAGAATAGGGATCCACCCATACATCCATATCTTACCATCTACTCATCATCCACAAAATTTTGGGCGTTACTGCTTTGTGTTTGCTGACATACATCTGCACACGATGAAAATTTGTCTACTTTTTATCTAGGTCATAAATGATGTTATTGGATGGAATTTTTCACATGCATGAATTATTTTATATTTTTTAGAGATCACCAAAGAAAATTGAGAAATAATATGGGTTGCTCCAGCAACTAGTAGCACAAATTCGAGAAGGGCGTTTTGGCGGACGAGTTGCATGGAGGCCGCTATCTCCGTCGCTAGTTCTGGCGTCGTGATGCATGGTCTCTGCCCTTTTTACTATATATATGACTTCTATTTTGGTAGATATACAGCAGTGCCGCCTGCTCCTGTTCAGGATTTCTACGTGGGCCTACGATTTCGCAGCTACCTCGCGAGAACAGCTGTTCCGTCTGGGCGGCGTTAAATTTGGCCCACTAGACGGGTTGTCGCAAGTGTTTGTGGTATGGGAAATAAATGTATCTACTGGGCCCGTTCAATGACATCGACTCTCATTAAGCGGTAAGTGGTCGTGCTTGGGTAGTCGACCAAGAAGCAGAACATACATACCGCACCTGGGTGATTGCCGATTCTCGCCATGGATGACATGGAGTTCTTCTTCGAGGAATCTGGAGCAGGGTAATCTTCTGAAAAAATTCCTATTTCTCGCCTAGTTTCCTGCTAGTGGGTTTGGATTGGAGCTAGAAGTCGATCTGGATTCAAGTTTCCTCCCATCTTGTTCTTCTAAACTCAGATCTGGGTGGTTCCCGTTTCTCTGTGCAGGCTTGTACTGCGTTTTGATGTCGGGGTTGTCTTAAGAGATCTAGTTGCCGGCGCACAATTGGCTGATGGCGACACGAGTGGAATTGGCGATGCGTAGGAGGACCTGATTTCTTCTATGCCGATAGGACCAGCTGGAAGCCGCATGGATTACGAAGGGGGCGAGGATATTGGTGAAACAGTGCGCACTGGGAGGGGGGTGTGCGGCTCATATGATCTTGGAGGCGAAGGGATGGGTGATTCCTGCGAGATAGGTGATTCAAATATTGCGTCTGATGCCACGGACCAGGGTGCAGACGAGGAGGGTGTGGGAGTAACCAATGCAAATCAATCTTCTTGGATCAGGAGGTGATTTTGTTATTTATCACCATGAAACTGTTTCGCTTTTTGTTGGTGATTTTTCCTCAAATATATGCTTCTCAATTTTTGCTGATAGTTTTGTTCCAAATATTGTTCATCCAAACTGAAATTAGTCACCAGTATGAGTATTGCAAAAACCTGAAAAAGTAAACGATATTATAGTAGCAACATGGGAGGGCAGCGCGCTAGGAATAATCATATTTAGATTAAAAAGAAAATAGATGTTATGTCATGGCTAATGCATCTGTTCATAAAAATGGATGATTTTTGCACACTGGATGGACGCCGCCATCTGCCTTTTTTTTGTTTGTTGAAATGAAGATTTTCTGAATCTGTTCCTGATGATTGTATAGCCACATATATATGTTCGGTAATTATGTTCCCACGACTATTCGTTGATTTTTGATGTATAACACCAAGTGTATTGGAGCACCGTATCCATCCCTCGTTTCATGTATTGGGCAGTAAAAACTATGGTCACCACTTAATTTGTTGTTCCTCATTGAACTTGATTACTGACTGCTTGGTGTGCCATTGTTTGCAGGGTCAGAGTTGGGAAGGCAAAGGATGAGAGGGAGCCGAGCCCTTCAAGGATGCCTGCCCTTGAAGCTTTTGTCCATGCATATGTCGATAAAAAATCAGGAAACGTTGTCAATCCATCGATTGGGACTAGTTTTGATTCTGTCGAAGAAGGCTACGAGTTTTACAATATGTATTCCTGGGAGGCCGTCTGAATGTACACCGGAAAAAATGCATGCACGAGATTGTGTAGGCAGAGAAGCGAGAGTGCAAACCACCTACTGAAAGGGTATGTACCACCAGGGTGCCCCATGCACTTGTTCATCAGGCAGTATGAGAAAAATGCAATTTGACCGTGACTCAGAAGAAAGTTACCAGGAGAAAAGGACAAAACTAGTAAGTTTGAATATGTCTCTGTGTATTTGGGTGATGTTGCATTGTTGTCGTTACAATAAGAAGATGCTTATCGAAACTGATTTCATTTTGATGTGGTTGTCATTTGCAGGGAGGGGTTGTCCTGAAGCAAAATATCCCAAATGAGGTACATGCATCGCAGGTTTATACCACGACAATGTTTGAAAATTTTGGTGAAGCCTTGTATGAACGTGGGTTGTATGATCTAGTAGAAGTCAAGCCACATTTGGAGTACATTGCTAGGCACATCAAATTTCAGTCGAGGGAAAAGTGGTGCAAGAATGAGTTTGTGATTTCCGTGAGCGAGTCGGCTGATGAGTTCGGGTGCGAGTGTGGGACATTCGAGCACTATGGAATGGTTTGCAGCCATGCACTTAAGGTAGGCGCCCCAGATCCTCTTCCTTACTTACAATCACTTTCTCTAGATGGGCATGGATGAAAGTCACTAGAAAATTGATGTGTTTTTTGACTGCTAATGTTCAGGTCGTGATACACCTGAAATTGCATGAGCTCCCTGCGAAGCATGTGCTCAGGCAATGGACTAGAGATGCAAGAGATATACTACTGCCAGAGTATCTGCGCTGCCAGAAGGATCATGGAACGCTGAAGTATTCTTCTCATCAACGCAACACTTTGTACCTGCTAGCGCTTGATGCCGGTAAGTTAGGCGACAGCAATGTGGAAGCATGTGCACTTGCTATGGAGAAAATGCGAGATGTCAAAGTGTTGGTCGAGCCAGTTGCCGCCATGAGGGATGGGCTTGGTTTGTCTGATATAGAGTTGGCTACAGATTCAGCCGGCTCTAGCGTTGGTAACAAGCAGCACTTTGGCCGAACTGAGTTTGAGCACACCATTTTGCAAGCATCCGATGTGTTCCCGACGCCGAAACGACCGGCTGGGCGTCCCACAAGGTCACAACTAGCCGCGACAAAGCTCCATACGAGGAACCATCAAAGAGTAGATTATGTTATGTATGCGGAGTTCAGGGACACAAGAGCACAACATGCCTTGCTCGGGGGATGTGCCAAAGGCACCTAGGAAATCTCCTTGCTGCTCAAAATGTGGGTTAACAGGGCACAGGAACACATGCAGCAACCTGGCTAAAGTCTGAAAAAACTTAATTTCAGTGTTGTTTACCGGTGGTATGCATTTGGCTATGTCGCCCTTTGTTAATACTGTAGAAACAGTCTGAAACGAGCCGAGGAATAAGAAGACGCCATGACTACGGTTATGGGGAGAGGTTCAGAAGAGTCAAAAGCTTTGGCTGTGCTGAAATGGACACGGCTGCTCCTGTTCTTCTGCGGTATAAATAGATGATTTCCAAGCGGCCGGATTCTCAAAACGGTCAGATCGTAAACCCCAACGTTTGGATTCCAGTTGGCTGGCTACACCGGCTGTGAACATGAGAGCCCGCGCATGCCCATTTTCATCAGTGTGTGAGCTCGCTAGCACTGTAGAGACATGATGGGTAAATGGATTCACACGTCTAGCCAGCCTGCCAGCGAGCTCTGGACGACATGGGATGCTACTGTAGAAAAATACATAATACGGTGTGGGGCGTATAGCTGTGAGCTCGAATACATGACATGCCAGCCTGCCAGCGAGCTCTGGACGACATGGGATGCTACTGTAGAAAAATACATAATACTGTGTGGGGGCGTATAGCTGTGAGCTCGAATACATAACATTAATGCCACGCTGCAGCAGCAGGATGCAATTCCTGACGACCAGGATAGCGAGCTACATGGAGCTCGGCCTCCAAACAGCATTTTCGCACAAATTCCTCCTTTAAGCCACAAAAACATGGCAATTTCATGTCATATCTTCCCTTGTAGTGTACACAATATCACGCACTTCTTTCGTTACCACACACCAACGTACACATCAATCGGTAAATAGTAAACAGAAGATAACAAATCATTGTAAGCAGTACAGGCAAGAGAATCAAGCTATCAAGCAATGTTTCAAAAAAAAAAGAGAAAGGCTTCAAACAGTAGATAGAGCCAAACAAAAGGAAAGAAATAAAATGGGAAACGTTAATCACACCAACAATTTTATTTACAAAATCATGCCATGTTCAAGTATTTAATACATTTGCCAAATTACTTTACTATATGCTCTTTTAACTACAACACTTTCCATTTCTGCACATCTCTTGTTTACTCAAATTCTCACAGAACACTGAAAAATCTAAGTACAAAATACAGTTAAGGAGATGAAAACATATGCTCATTATTATTGACTATAAGATGGTAATCTCAGCCTTGAATATACCCGACAGGGGCTGCAATCGCCACTTTTGTATAATGGCAATCTTGGCATTGAACTTACCCACTAGGCGCTGCAATGGCTATATCCTCAATACTACTTTTGTCAAACATTATCTCTGTAGGTTTCAAACACCCACGAATGAATTCCTGCCCAAGTTGCGCCCGCTCATTGTCTCCAAAACCAAACACGATACCTTTATTTGTCACTGCAACAGTATGGTATAGTCCAGTACTTATTTGAGAGACATAATGACCAGACAGGCTGTCGAGAACGCGAGGCTGCATCACTTTGTCAGATGATCCGCGGTCAGGAAACCCTAAACTCCCAAAGCCCATCCATCCAAATGCAAAAACTGAGCCTTCATCAGTGAGAACAAAGGTCTTTCTCTTTCTTGCACATACCTGTCCAAATTCACGAAAACAAAAGCTTTTACATATGAAACTTGTGTAATTATGCTGGTAAAAGTATGGGAAGATAACGACATTTTCATTAGAACATGCAACTTCAGTCTCATGCTTTACATGAACTTTAAGCCAAGCATAGCACTGGACGGGCACGTTCGGAACCGGCTGCTAAATGCCGCCCATGAAATCTGGACAGCACTGAGATACTTTCTGATTCGTGCATGAAGTAAGACATAATTCAATACCTGGACAGTTATATACAAATACGAAAGGGAATACATCTGACAAACAATTACTCCCCAGCAGGGCTCTTGTTGCAACTAATGGATTCCCGACAGATAGGATAAGGAGAAGATGCTGAAACTTGTCCATACAGTCAAACATCCATTAAATGAATTGGTGCAGATGCTCCAATAGTTTTGATGTTTCACTAAATGGTTTCCTCAATGATTAACTAAATATGGATTATGTAGCAAATTTCAAACATCACTCTCCTGACTAGATGTTTCACTAAATGGTTTCCTCAATGATTAACTAAATATGGATTATGTAGCAAATTTCAAACATCACTCTCCTGACTAGAAGACGAATTGGAAAAGACCTATATTGCGAGATTCAAAACTCAAAAAAATTGTTGGTTCCAGAAATGTAAATTTTTGGAACCATTTTCTACTTTCAACATAGACTTATGAATGGTACACTATTAAACTTATTAGTAGTAATATGACTAGAAAGAAATTCAAATAGATTCAACTTTATTTGTGATTGTTCTGTAGTCTAAATTAGTGTTAAATACAAAATATGAACACTAATTGAGGTCTGCTACTAGTAGTTGTTGCTTTGGTTCCTGCTACTTTTAAGTACAATGTTCGACCTTCTCTCATTAAATGCAGTATTGAGATTCTTCTGCGAAAGAAGCTAAGGGCACCTCCAACGCCGCCCCCGAAAATGGGCCGGTAAGTCCGCAAGCTCAAAATAAAAGAATATCAAATCTTTGATGAATGAAAATATTCAAATGCAACAGTACTTTTAATTTAAATATTACCCCCTCTATAAACTAATATAAGATCTTTTAGATCACTGATCTTATATTAGTTTACAGATGGAGTACAATCCAACTGAGTTTTCAAATAAAATAGTTAAAACTTGAATTCAACTCGATCAGATGCTCGAGTTGTCCATTTAACCACTCACAGATGCTCAATCAAATCTCCTTGAGCTGCTCATGAGTTGCTCGATGCCGAATTTGTTGATGCATTTGAATAAACTCATCAAAGGTGGCCCGATTCTGATCTGAAAGTTGGATCATCTTTGTGCATTTGAATAAACCCATGTTCTCAAATTCCAGACCTCCGGCAACATCTTCAACATCTTCACCCTCATCCTCCACGATCATCTTTGTGCATGATCATGCATGTCATCACCTCCCACAAGGTCTCCTGATCCCATTGTTTAGCAGGTCCACGAACACTGCAAAACCGGCTTGGAGCACTCCAGATGCCCTCCCCACATCCTTTCTAACTCCTTGTCTTTGGGCAAAGTGAGCTCTTTTCTAACCAACTGCAACATAGATGGTCTTGACTAACGTAGTCCACGGAGGATTGATACCGTCGATCAGATAGTAACCCATGGTCATTGTACTGATGCCCATTGACTGTATAGTTGCAAGGAGGAGCTTGCCCTTCAGTCAAACTAGCAAACAATGGAGACCGCTACAGCACATTGATGTCATTGTGAGACCCGGACATGCCAAAGAAAGTGTGCCAAATCCAGAGGTCATGTGATGCAACTGCTTCAAGAATGATGGTGGGCTTCTTAACATGGCTCTCAAATTGCCCTTGTAGGGCTTTGGGCAATTCTTCCATTTGTAGAGTTTTTGAGCAATTCTTCCACCTCCAGTGCATGCAATCAAGAGATCAGAGCAAACCTGGCCACCCTCTTGCTTCCAACATTGCCAAGATCCTTTCCGTGTCGGCGACAGTTGGTTCTCTCAAGTACTAAGGTCCAAACACCTCGACCGCCGCAATACAAATCTGACCATGGCATCTCCACATGTGCTCTCAGGCATCCGGAGGTACTCGTCCCATGAATCTGCGGCTGTGCCATATACAAGCATCTGCAATGCAGCCATGCACCTCTGGTAACCAGAGAATCCAATTCTTCCTACGGGATCCTTCCTCAAGATGAAGTAATCATTGTAGGACCGGACACCATTGTAGAGGGGATCAAAGACATTTTTTCGCATCCTGAAAGCGCCGGCGAAAATTGTTCGCGAATAAGGCATCAGGGGCAAAGTAGTCGTCCATCGGCATCAAATGGCCCCGTGCCCTATTCCAGTTCAATGATTGATGATCCTTGTCTCCTTGATCGATCCCTTGAAATTGAGAACATGCTCTTCCGCACGCTCTGCGTCTGCAAGGACCGCTTGCATCATCGCCGTTTCATCCGCATAATCCTTCTCGTCAGACAACTCAACGAGTGCTCGTATAAGTACTCTTGAATCCTCAAACAGGCAAAAACTTTAGCATGGGTATTTCACCAAACACTTGCCGGGTGTGGTGACCCCCGTAGGGGCAGATGATACCTGTGCGGCAAACGGACGAGAGTTGTGGACCAACGTCATAGGCAAAGCGACAGGAGCGGCGGAGGTCGCGGAGGTCCAGAGAGGGCTTGGCCGCCGTCAGGGGTGTAGAGCAGCGGCGGCGGCGGCGAGGGAGGAAGCAGATGTAGAGAAAGAGGGATGGGATGGAGACACGGGGTTGGGTGGCCCGGGGGTGTCGGAGACTCAGAGTCCTACATGGCAGCGGTCCGGACTCCCGCAAAGCCCCGCAAGAGATGGAGACATGGGGTTGGGTGGGCCGATGGTGTCGGAGACTCGTGGTCCTACATGGCAGCGGTTTGACAAGTGGACTGATCCGCGGACCGATGCGGGGCGGCGTTGGAAGGCAAACTGCATCAGGACAGCGAGTTTCGAATGTATGTGGGTGATTTAAGGGTCCACTTTGCAAATACCCTAAGGCTGGTCATAGTGGTGAATAACTTACACTAGTAATATGCATATGTTACTAGTCTATATGTTAGTACTGCCTCTGTTCACAAATATAAGGTGCTCTAACTTCTTTCTGAATCAAATGTATATAGATGCGTTTTACTGTGTTTGTTCATTCATTTCTATCTGTATGTAGTCCATATTGAAATATCCAAAACATCTTATATTTGTGAACGTAGGGGGTACTTCCATAGTGGGTAGTATCATGTGTGTGATAACATAGAGACCTTCATTTATTACTTTGTAATCATTTTTCATTGGGAAGCGCTATGTGATGGTAACACATTAGAGCAAGTAAAATAAGCTTATGTAAGCAGGCTATAAGAATTAAAATATTATTTTCCTGATGACATGGAGGGAAGAGAAGAGGAGAGAAGAGGAGCTGGCTACAGAATAAGAGCCAGCTGCAGCACGTGCTCCTAGGCACTATGTGAGAGTGGGAAGTGGGACATGTATTAATAAGTAGCACAACTTTATGTGTAACTATTATACTTGCCGGCTATAAGATTGGCTATAGATGACATGGCGAAGTCATATAGCCATCAGCTGGCTATACTATTAACCATTCTCTTAGAGCAAGTACAGTCAGCAGGCTGCAAGGATTAAATTATTATATTTCTGCTGAGTTGGATGAGAGAGAAGAGAGAGAAGTGAAGCAGGCTGTAGATTAACAGCCGGCTGCAACACAGACTCCAAGAAACAATGTGAGAGTGTGAAGTGGGCCATGCATTAAAAAATAGTACTCCCGTCGTCCCAAAATAAGTGTCTCAACCTTAGTAGTACAAAGTTGAGAAGTTGAGACACTTATTTTGGGACGGAGGGACTACTACTTAGCAACTAGCTACTATACATGTTGGCAATTAGGTTGACTATATGTGACATGGCAACTTTATATAGTCGGTTGTTGGCTATACTATTAACCATGCTCTTATGTTAATCCATTTGTCTCTCCTATTTAATTACTTGCCACGTCATCTTTTTGCCTATGTAGCATGCATGTTACTATATTATTACTCCCACTATGAGTAGTCTAAAAAGTAGATGGAGGTTGGTGTATATTGCCATGCACGGTGGTAAATATTGTCAGTGTACTCAA